CTGATACTTGAGACCTCAAAGAGATGCTTCTAGTTCTTATAATTAAATTCCCTTTGATGGGGGTTAAAGACCAAACTGATCTATAATGAATTCTGTGCCAAAGCAAACCATTTATTCTCTCTTAAATGACACCGGTAGTCTTAGAAGCAAGAGTAAAACCGCGCTGAGGCTCAGGCGCACGTCGCATACCTGGACTTACGCGGAGTTTCAGATTCTCCGGAGATACACTTCCCACGCACCCCCGGGCTCCAGCTGTAAGATGCTACCCACCCAGGAGAAGGGTGACTGACTGAAGGAAATCGGCCTCCTGTGGGGACATAGAGGCACTTGTGGCATTTAGCAGGCAGACAGCCCTCCTGGGTGGGGAGGCAGAAATGCAAGCGGGGCAAAAGCTGGTTTTTTCGGTTGTTCGTGTGCAAAATAAGAGTAAATAATACAAAAATGAGCTCACTGACCCAACAGTAAACCTACTGTTGCCCCACCCGGTCTTTGTCAAAAACTGCGTATCAAGTTTTTCCCAATTAAATCATATTTTAAAAACTTGGTAGAAAAGATCATTCATGAAATTTCCACAATGTAGCTTTTGTAAATTAAAAAAAATAGCTACTCGTTATGCAAGTAAATATTTTTTTTTTTAAATGACGCAAATTTTCACAAGAGGTGAAGCATATTTGCTTCAAAGTGGTGGCTGGCAGGAGCTGGTCCGTCCCTGGGTGCTCTGAGGGTGTGTGCGCGCTGCCTGCTGCCTCCCACCAGCGCCCAGGCTTCTGGCTGCGCCCTCGGCTTACAGCGGCGCCTGGCACCCACGAGGTGTCGATTTGGTTGAATGGTGACTGAAGACTTTGTGAAAACACAGACAGCATTTTATGTACTTTTCACATGTTCCTCTCATTTTAACACCTGTTCTTACCTTGGCAGTATCTGAGCCCAGGGACCCTCCTGGAGAGTGGGTACAAACAAGTGGTGGAATTTTTTTTTTAATCTAGGTTTTTGTTTATAATATTATCCCAGCTGGTAACTAAGTACAAAGCTGAGGGACCGATGGTGAGATTTGTGGCCCTTCTACGGCAGCGGCGGCGTTAAAGTTTAAGTTTTGTCAACCAGCAACGACAAGGAAAGTCCTACTGATAAAACACTAAGGCGTTACGACAAATGAGATGAAATAGTTCAAATAGGTAATGACTAGTAGTTCCAAAGCTATGGTGTTTAAAGTAGGCAAAGAATCATTATTCCTTCCATACACCTCAGAAGAAATAAGAAATGACAACGAATGTGAATAATCGCCCTGGCTCATGTGCCTCAGGTGTTCAGAGACTCGTCTGTAAACCAAAAGGTTTGATTTCCGGCCTAGGTTGCAGGTTTGGTCCCTGGTCAGGGCACGAGAACAGATTGATGCTTCTCTCCTTCCTTTCCCTTCTCTCTAAAAATCAATAAGCCTGTCTTTGGGTGAGGATTTTTTTTTTTTAAGTGTGAAAATAATCACACCATGTGTGAAATGACACTTGGGGAAGACGGCCCTCCCAACAAGCATTCCTTGGGTGCGGACAGCGTGCCAGCTAAACCTAACTACACACTGCAGACCGACACGCTGGCCAAGACGCGCCTGTGCCTCAGTGCGGGCTCCCAGACGCTCATCACCTGCCCCCGGGCCAAGCGCTGGCGACACCGCTGCGCACAGGACGAACGCTGTCCCGGATTCTAGTGGCGGGAAAAAGAAACACCGAGGAAGACACTACAATCGGGAAGTACAGAGTGGGGACTCGCGGACCAGGCGGTGGAGAAGGCCCCTCTGAAAGGGGGCGCCCCGAGGAGGAAGAGGGCGCAGCGCTGGGCGGCCGTGGGGTGGGGAGGGCGCCGCGAGGGCCCAGGGCCCGCGGCCGGCGTGAGTCAAAGCGCGGGGAGGGGCGCGGGGCGGCCGCTGGAGGCAGAGTGAGGCAGAGGGACGCTCGGCCTGCGGCAGGCGCAGGGGCAGGCGGCAGCCCCGGGCCGCGGAAAGCCACGGAGGGTTCCGAGCAAGAAAGCCGCGTGACCGATGTGCATTTTTAATAAAACTCATTCTTGCAGTTGTGTGAAGAGTTGTGGCAAGAGCCGGGGAATGGGGACGGCAGCTGGGACGCTAGCACCGTGGTGAAACACAAGTGGCAGCGATTTTGACTACAACGCTAGGAGGGGACCACTAATGGGAAAGATGGGCCTGGGACCCGGGGGGGCCGAACGGACGCGGAGCGTGGAGGGTGCGGCTGTGGACCATGAGGGCTGGGGAGGCAGCAGGGACCGCCGGGGGATCCGGCCCCCGGCTGCTGTGGGCGCTGCCTGTCGCTGAGATTTGCTCCCATTCTGAGCCCGTTCCTACCTAAGGGTCAGCGAAGACGTTCCCGCCGCCCGCCGAATGCAGCGAATCCTTATTGCATCCACCCTCCATCTGACACCAGTGGCCACTTCCTCTCCCCCAAACCCCTTCTCCGCCCCACTTCCCTTGTTGCTCTTTTAGCCCGCGGGCCTCCTGCCAGGCGCCTTGCACCCCACAGCTCTGTCCTCGGCCCCTGCTACTTCCTTCACCACCCTGTTCCTTGGTGACGTCGCCCGAGCAATCTGTAGCTTTAACTGCGAGCCACAGAAAATTCCCAACCGGAACATTCTCCGCTGCAGAACCTCCGACCCCACGGTCTTCGGCCCGTGCTTGTTGGGATGTCCCTGCGGCACCGCAAACGCCACACATCCAAAGGAAACCTCTTCGTCTGCCGCGCCAACGCTCCCGTCCCCTCATCCCGCGTCCTTCCTCTCTGGAAAGCTCCATTTTGAAAAACGTGCCCAGCCCCCGCGCCCCAGGCCTCAGGCTCCCTCTCTCAAGCCCCCACCCGATCGACTTCCAAGCCCAGTCACATCTGCTTTCTGACTGGCTCCGGAGGGTGTCCTCTCCTCATATCCTGCTGCGCTGATTCAGGTCTGTATTCTCCCCTGGACTGTGACAATCGCCCTGCCCTCCGGGGCGCCTCACCCCACCGGACCCCAGACTTCCTGTCTAACACACACAGGAACCCTTTCCGCGCCTCCCCACCGCCTCTAGGACAAACTCCGGGCTCTCGAGTGGCGGACGAGGCCCTTCGTGAGTCGGTGCCTCTGGACGGCTCCCCCTCTCAGCTCCCAGGGGGCCTTCCAGGCCGCAGCCCCCCCCCACCACACTGATGTGCCAGCAGGCTCCTTCACGACGCGATGCATGGTTTCCTTCCCCAAGGCCAACTCAGCTTCCGCATCCCCTCCTTGGGTGGCCTGAACTTTCCTCTGAGTTTATGGCCCTCCCTACTGCCTAACAGCACACCATTATCAAACGAATTTGTATATGGCTTCTCCCACGGTGCTGCGAATTATCTGAGGGCGGATTCAAAGGCGCTTAATGAATGTTGGAAGAATCGCTGTACCTGTGTCACACTCCCGAAGGTTTTCTGTAAAACATGAACTGTTACATACAGTCACCGTTTCCTGTTATATCCACCATCAGGAAAAGGGGACCTGGCAAGAAGAAACATGTAGTGTTTTTCTAAAATTAACTAGTAACCTCAGCTGCTGGCTTTCACAGACCAGCGCTCGTCTGAAGAGCAAGGTCTGTCCCCTCTTCGTATTAGTGTCCACTGAAGTTCAGTTGTTCCCCTCTGCCACCGTTAACACCCTGAGTTTCATTAAGGTCAACGCGACTGCCTTGTCCTCTGCAGCAATGGCCGACCTCTCATGCATAATAACTGTCTGAAGCACACAAGTTTTCTGACAAACCTTAGACTAAGGCCATTTCCTACTTGTTCTCTTAAAACACAAATATTCCCAACACCACCACTAACCCTCTCCCCCCCCCCACGCCTTTGACCTACTTTCTCAGAAGAGACATTTATACAAAATGAATTGTATCTTTATCTGTCAACCTCCGGGAGGGAGGGGTGCTTTTATATTTATATGTTATAGCCCCTGGAATCATTGGTTTAATTATGTTTTTCCTGGTTCCAAATATTACACTAAGGACTTCCGTGAAAGAGATTAATGAGTAAACTCCTACTCAGATACTGTGATGCAACCGACGTTTTTGGAAAACATCAAGAAATAAAGTTTATGTGCGTTTTAGGAGTTGGCCCTCTTTGGAGTCATTACTCAGCCACATGCTGAGGCAGCAACAAGTTCTCTGCCACTGGAACAGCATAGACACAGCCCTGGGGCCTCGCCACTTCACGGGTCCCTAAAGCAACTCGCCCAATTCGCTGAATCGAGCCTGAGGTTCACCTTAGTTTGACCCTTGCGATTTGAAAAGGAAAAAAATGACTTTTTTTAAAACGTGTCTTTTAATGTCCTATGTCTTGTCAAACTAGAGCATCTGTGCCTGGGAATATCACGGATTTGACCAGTTTCCTTTCCGCCAGGCCATTTCCGCGGCATTCCCAGGTCTCTACGCCCTAACCCAGAATAATGGGAGTTTCGTCCCGGTGCTCTGCAGACTCCAAAGAGGAGACGGGAGACTGCAGGGCTCTTCCTTCGCGGAGGCTTAAAGAAGGAACTGGAGAGCACTGGAAATGGAATTTACGAGGCAAAACAAAACAGTGGCTGAAAACATGGAAACAACCAACAAAGGCCCCATCGATGAGAAAAGCCTGCCACCTCCCAAAGGTGCAGAACGCAGAACCCGGATCCCGGGCGGGCCTGGGCGCCGCGGGTCTCCGCGCGGGGAGCGCAGGGGGCTCTGTGGGAGCGCAGACCAGGGCCGTTCCCCCACGCCCCCCGGGACCGAGCAGGTAGCGCTCCCCGCCTCCCCCACACGCGGGGATCCGGGAAGGAGGGAGAGGCGCCGCGCCTCCGGAGTTGCCTAGGGCCGCGCTCCCGCCCGCTGGGTGCCCGACCCCGTGCGCACAGGCCGCGCCCGGTCCCCGCCTCGGCGCCAGAGCGCAGGGCCCCGATCCCCGTGGGGGGCGAGTGCAGCCCGGAGTCCCCGCCGCCCCGGAGCCCCGCCCGGTCTCACTTACAGAACCCGAGCGCCGCCGCCAGCACCGACCACAGACAGCGCCTGCGGTCTGGGGCCGCAATCACAGCTCCGGCCCGGGCGGGCGCAGCCATCATCCTCCGCTGCAGCCCCACCGCCTCGCACCGGGCCCCGGCCCCGCTGCGGTTCGCTCGGCTCCGGACCACGGCGCCACCTCGTCGCCACCGCCTCACCCAGTGGCACCTCGGCGCCGAGGCCCCGCTCGCGGCCCGCTCATTGGCCGGTCCCGTGGCCCCCAAAGCACGCGATTGGAGGATGCCGACTGTCCATTACCCCTCTCATCACGCGAGGTCCCGCCTCCGAGGTCCCACCCCAGCTACCATCCTAGCGCTGGAGGCCGGGACCCTTGCTCTACCGCCGCCGCCCGGCCCTCTGCCTGCGTGGCGGTCCGCTTCTCTGCCCGGCCGCCCGAGCGCCTGCCAGCGTCCCCTCTGCCTCTCCCAGGGTCCCACCCCACAGATCCCTCCATTGTGTCTCCTTGTAGCGGGTCTTTGCCAGGGTGTCCCCCTCTGCGTCAGCTCTTCTCTGTTTCTGTGAGCCTCATCTAAAGAAACGGTGGTTTATTTACAAAAATAATCCGGGGTGGGGTGGGGAGAGACTTCTGCGTCAGTGGTCCAGAGAGGACACATTTCCCGCCTGTCTTGCGCCCAAGGCCTGTCCTTTGCGTGGACCGGGTAATTTATGGCTTGTGATTTGAGGAATCTGCTAGTTTAAGAAGTCTCCATCTTGTCTGAGTTTCCTCTTAGGAAACCCCTTTTGGCTTAAGAAGGGGTGGGAACTGGGAACTCTTTCCTACTGCCCGCAACAAAAAGGACGGTGCTTTTTGTTTGATTTGCTTCTGCAAGCAAAACGCTCCTCCATTTCTCAGTACCAAGTGGGATGGGGAAGTTCCCCACCCTGCCTCTGAAGGGCCTAGGCAGACCCTGCTCAGCTTGGTCTCCCGGGCCCAGGACGGTGTCCGCTACTTACTGGTTGCCCAATAAGTACTGGGAAGCGTTTGGAAGGGTCCCTATGAGAATAGCTTACAATCGGGAAAGCCAGAGGGACGGGAGGAGAAAGACGAGGGGGGATTCCAGGTGGGAGGCCGATGGAGTGAGCAAGGGAACGAGCGTTAGGCCGTTAGGCTGAGCAGGGGAGCAGCGTGGTCAGAGAAGCCAAGTGCACACTCTCGCTTCAGTGTTTTGTCTCAAGTTAACGTGATGAACGCCCTTCCTGGGGCTTTTGCTGCCTTAGCCCCCTAGCCTCGCGGGACAGCGAACGCATAACACAGTCGTTCGCTGCTGAACGCCGGGGGTGGGGACACCTGCCGCTGCCGGGTTCCCGGCACCCCGCCTTACGGCAACCCTCCTTCCCAGGCAGAAAAGGCGCACTCCCAGGTAAGGATGAAAGTACAGTGTCGTAAACGCGAACACCGGGACCGTGGTCGTTTATCCTCAAGCGTCCCGTCCTGTACGTGACTGTACGTGCAGCGCTTGCCCTGGACTGGCAGCCAGTAGGCTTGGGGGCACCAGCGTCCCTGCTGACACGGGGTGAGACGTTGCTTTACGACATCTCCGTGGCAACGACGTCACGCCGCTGGCTACGACGCCACACCAGCGCCTCGCGGCAGCTATACGTCACTAGGGCGGCCGGGACGTCAAGAGGCAGAAGAAACAGTCTTCGGGCCCTCCCCGCCGGGTGAGTGGCCTGCGAGCTGTGGCCCCTGCCGTCGCCGGCGTTTAGGCGGGGTCTGTTCTGGTTGGTTTTGGCGTTAGTGAGACAGAACTGAAAAGCCCGGCCGAGCCGTCTCGTCCTGTTTCTCTGAGCAGAAAGCTTCTGACCGTTTCCGGCCTGTCCTGGGCTGGGAAGACCTGTCCTGTGCTGGGAAGACTACGAGCGCCTTGAGGGCGCAACTGCTAAGTGCTGGAGGTGTGGGACGCCCCGAGGCGACCAGGCGAAGCTCCAGAAGCACGTGGCCCGCCGGTGCAGACCAGCGAGGGCTGTGCTACCCGGGTAGGAGGCGTGCAAGGCAGGGGTGAATACAGCAGAAACGCCGGGCCGGCAGGGACCCGGGTTCTCAAAGACACCGGCGCTGTGACAAGCTTCTCTGCTGCCTGGGAGGCACCTGGACACACGTACCGCCCCCTTGCGAGAACCACTGGCCCCAGAGGGCCCCGGAAAGACACAAAGGAGATGACATTTGAGGTGCGCTTCAGAGGAGGCACACGGGTTCCCCGGATAGAAGCAGGAGACGCGAACTCCGACACGGGGAGGCGGTGCCAGGGGCAAGCCACGGGGTGGCTTGGGTTTCAGGGGAATCGAGGACAAGGGGACAGAGGCTAGGAAAGTAGGCAGTGGTCCGAGGAGCCTTGGGTGGCCTTCATTCTGCAGGCGGTGGGGAGCGATGACAGGGGAGGGCACGAGAAGGGAGCAGGAAGACAGGGCAGTGGAGGGTGGGGAGAAAGACATTGTTGGAGAAACGTTTCAGGAAAAGAATGGCAGAATGGGTATGCTTTGGGCGGTAAGCTTCGCCAAGAGAAAAGCATCCACGACACTGTGACCGCCACTTGGCGGCCAGAGTGGAGAAAGATGTTCCCAGTTGTCCAAAACGGAAATCCCGGGTGGACCTGGGCCGCGAGGAAGGCTGAGGAGTGAGCTGGGCCCCGGACTGGCTTAGGGCGCCACGGCCACCCGGACAGCCAGCAGACGGCAGCCAGGCCGTCGGTCTAGAGCCCGGGGACGCGGCAGAAGGGCCAACAGGCACCTTGAGCGAGGCGTTTACACAATAAACAACATCGGACCATCAGTGGGCAGTAAATATTTGTTGAATGAATAAATGAATGTTCCTCCAATTAGCCTGGAGAGTTTACGCAGAAGAAAACACTGTGCAAGGCGGTTTTCCCCATTGTCGTTGCACTGGAATTTCTGATCCTCTGTCTGGACAATAAAAGGGAAAAAAAAACCCCAAAACCCCTTGAATTCCCATCATTCTTGTTAGCCTGAGGCTCTCATTCAACAAACCCCCTCCTTTTCAGATACCTCCTGGGAACTCCTCTTTCCAGTCCTGGCAGCCCGGGCAGTACAGTCGAATCAACGAAGACTTCCAATCAGGTCAGGAAGGTCCTCTTTAAAGGACCCGGGCCCAGAAAGGAAGGGGTCCGTGGGGGAGAAATTTCCCCACAGAATCGCTCACCAGGAAAGTGGGCGCAGAGGCTGTTGGGCAGTAGCTGTCTGTGCCCGGCCCTCGCCTCCCTGGGTCCCGTTCCCAACCTGCACAGGAAACCCCTACGGAGAAGGAGCATTACCTGGAGAACACCTCCGGGCTTTACGCCTCCTTAGAGATAAGATAAGGGCCACTTATCTTAGAGATAAGATCCGGGACACTCAGGGTCACCTGGTGTTGACAGGTATGCAGGAGCAGAACTTTCTAGAGCTGGAGTTAGTGGGAGACCGTGCGAAGAGTGTGGCAGGCACCAGCATCGTCAGCAGAGCCTTGTGATGGTGGTGGAACCATCTCCACCCCGTGTAGCCCCTGGCATCCCCCCTCCTGTGCTTGGGGGTCTGTTGCCAGGGGACAGGTGGCCTGCCTTGGGTGGCGGGAGGTGAGCAGAGGCTCCTGGAACACCGGGAATTTGACTGTCAATGGACGAACATCAGATGGAGTCTCGGGTGATGCCCAGGCCACAGGGAGAGGTTTGCCTGGAGTTAAATCAGCTTCATTGACATTCCTATAGGAAGGAGAAGGGGTACATTTTTACTAGAAATGTATGAAAAACCTGAAAGTTCTTCCGTCTCTGACGTCCCTGGGCACGGAGGCACCCACTTGGGATGAGAAGAACCGCGGGGTCCTTGGGAGGCGTTCCCTGCTATGGGCTTCTTTGGTCGCAGGGACCGGGGTGAATGTTCCTGAGGACCCTCTGTCTCCCTGAGCCCCGCTCCCGTCTGCACCGCCGCGCCTCGCCCGGGAGGACGTGCCTGCAGAGGGTCGCAGCCCGCAGAGGTGCTTCTCCGTGCGAGCCAGGCGGCTGGTGTCCCGAGTGTTGTTCCTATTAGTCTTTCTGCTTCCTTGTTGTGAGGGGCAAATGAGAGGCCCTCGCAGAGCCTGCAGAGTAAAAGACAAACTCTTTTTCAATCACTAGACAGCAGTAGGAGAAAGAAAAAAATAAACTTGAAAATGATAACTCTAGTAAATTCAAATGGGAAAGAAGAGCGTAGAGCGCCCTTAACAACTACAGAGACTGAGGTTTTCATAAATCTGAGGTGGTTACATCATTTTACTTAACAGTTTTATTGTGTCGTTTCCTTGCTCTGGGGACATGCCAACAGTTTTCGGGGCATATTTTTGTGTTGCAGTTAGGTCTGATGAATAAACTCTCCTGGCGCCTACATCTAGGAAATATTTTAAAGCTATTCTTACCCTCTCAGCCTTGAGCCCTAACATAAAGCAGGAGTGGGTGGGAGTGTTGGAGTCCACAGCTGTGATTCGCTGGGGCCACCTGGGAGGAACGGGTCCGACAGTTCAGCGTCTGGCACCTGGGGCTTCTAGGTGTGTGTTGAATAAATGGACTGATGGAACAAATGAATAAACTGATGAGTGAACAGTATATGAAATAAAAATCAATGTATAGTTCTATTTAGGAGAGTCACCCTATTTGTTATTTCCCATCTGGTTATGTATTTGTCAAAGTGACAATTAACCATTACTGACTGTCCAAGTACCAAAATTTATATAGTTAAGGGATTTGGAACAAATTGCAGTCATTCAGCAATTATTCATTGAGTGTCAGCACTGCTAGCATAAGCCTCAGTACTATTTAAAAATGTAAAATATAGTGTATGAGCCATGCCTTAAAGATATTGGGACAATTAGGCACCAATTATAACCAATTATAAAATTGGCTGCCAGTTGTACGGTAGAATTCAGTGTTGGTATTTTGACCTCCAGCAAATTATGATGAGATATATGCAGTTGGCTTTTAATATGTTAGCAGGTCTTTCTTCTGGGAAGGTAAGAGTTTGCGATTTATGCAAAAGGAAAGAGATTTTCCAGCTGAATAGAACAGTTTGAGTAAAAAACACAAGGACGAGAGTTCACACGGCTGGAAAGGTGGCGCTTTGAACACCTGGTAACAGAGGCAGGAAACCGACATTGTCGCTGATATTGGGTAGCCCAGCAACCAGTCAGCCATACAGAGAGCCTGG